CCTAGTTATGGATTGTATTTGATTTTTTAATAGCCAGGGCCAAGTTTTTTTTCATCAATTCACCTCCTGTGATTAATTTAAGGATTTTGTATACTTTTCTATTTCTGCTGCCAGTTAGTGAGCTCTCAGCTCATTATTTCTTCCCAAGGTTGTGAATCTCCATTTCATAACAACGATGTCCATCCATTTATATGGCTCCAGTCCTCAAGGTCAACTATTCTTTCTCCAAGACTCCTTTGTATTGACAGCTCACCAAGTGCACAGCGATGGCAAATTTAATGAGTGTATATTAACTAATTTGTCAATATCACTAACTGAAAGTGTAAATGAAACTGATCCCAAATTGTATTCTAGAAAAATTCATTGAGCATGTGCCTCACAGTCTCAAAACACCTTTTTCAGTATAAGTAATTTTTGGCTCTTTGTTCAACCAATTGTTCATATACTTCACTGACATTCATACTTCCCAGACTTCACCATAATTTTCCACTTGGCATGACAGACATGTGGAGATGTCCAGGGAGATTATGGAGATTATTTTTTCTAGTTTCCTGTATGGACATAAATGACATGTTAAAGAAAATAAGTACGTCATGTCAGAATTATCTTTCTATAGTAGGGTCATCTTTTATTATCTGTCATTTAGCTTCCAATTTTCTGAAGTTTTGCCTTTTCTTCAGAGCAAAAAAATCAGATTTTTAGCTGAGAAGATCACTTCTTACCCTTTACTATTCCCCAGTCATATAGCACCTCACCTAATTTGAATGAATTTTAGAATATTGCTATTAAATCTCAAATTTAAAATGCCAGGAATTTTCTATCTTTTACAACAGGACACAGAGACCTTTACAACATAACTGCATCTAGGTTTACCAATATCTCTGTTGTAAATATTATAATTTGTATATGTAGCAAATACAAAAACAAATATATTTTTTTCTCTGCATGCTATCTTTTCCCAGAAGTTCATTGTCATTGTGCTGAGATCAAGAAAAGCATTCATGTTTTTTTTAAAACGTATTGCTTACGAGACTAGCATGAAGTGATGCCTTAAGTTGTAGCTTTCATATTATCCACACTTTGTTCTGCATTAGTATATCACTCTGAACTTCAAATAAAGTGTTACCAAGCTCTCCTCTCAATTTAGTTAGACAAAACAATCCTTTCCACCCTGAGAACCAAGGACACTGTTGCAGCTTCGGGCCCAAAAAGTATAAACAACAGCAAATTGGAGAGAGCAAACTGTGAGGATGGGACTTCATAACTTGAAGCTGTAACTGGACAATTAAGCCCAGTATGTAAATGGACCAAAACTTATAAAAGTTATAAGTTACACGTTATAAAACGTGTGACCCGTCATCCATCTCGGGTGTAGCCACATCTGGACTCTTGGGCTCTTGTGCTGCCCAAGGTGTACCCTTTGAAGGCCTTGTAATAAATACCTACTTTATTCCTTTAACACTGTCTAGCCTCTATTCTAGGTAGCCTCTCAAGTCATCAGGAGTGATTTGAGAAGCAGCACTAAATTTAGAACGTGGACTTCAGAACTTGGTGCTGACGCCAAATTGGCCAGACATTGCTATTAAAATAGATCTTTTGTGAGGCAAGCTAGAAAAACAGGGGTAGAAAATAATATTGTCTCCCATTTTCTTCTATCTTTCATGGAGGATTTTTCAAAGTTTTTCTGAAGCTTTTGTTCAAAACACAAAGGTGGGGATTTGCTGGCTAGAATATCTCCAGAAGGTATCTATTGCAGAGGGGATTTTTAGGCCTAGTTTGCTTTGAGTGGATTTTGGCTGAAGGCAAAGCCTACGGATCGCAGCTTTTGTAAAGTATTTAAAGCATTACTGACACTTCTAGTGCTTTATAAGTATTCTTTCCAATTTCTATTAGTTTCTTATCAGGAGTTTTGCTCACCTGGCAGCCAGTAATAGAATGTGGGAACAATGCTCTCAGTGATGGCTGGATTATATTTTTTTAATCTCATAGCACCATAGTTTTTAATAGAGTGGTGAAACTATCTGAAAACAGTGTGTAGAGGAAGGTAAAACAGAGTAACTTTTTCAAATGTTCACTGCTCAAAAAGAAAAGAAGTCAAAAATAGCTGGAAACAAGGATAATGAATTCAGCTACTAAAAGGGCAATTTTTCCCCCTCCACTTCAAGATTTACTCTCTCCATCTATAATGTGAGATGTAAAAACTCAGTACATTCTCATTTGAATATTTTGATTTTATGAAAGGGTATTATTTCTTTTTTATTTTTGAATGGCACTATTATCAATGAAAATTTTACTAAAAAATCTATTATAAAAAGTGACTCTGTAGGATCAGCCAGGCTTAGAATAGCCTAGATGGAAGAAAAAGTCAAAGTCATGGCATGGCATGGCATCTTCAATCAGTGTTCAAGCACACCCTGCTGAAGCTTGTGTTACATTGTTCTCTAGTTAATGATGTACATGTGCAGACTGTCAGCTATTATGGTGAGCAGCTTTGTGTAGCTTAATGCTGTCTGTGACATGCTGGCTACCCATTAAGGTTGTAGCAAAATATATGCAGCCAGTAATAGGTCTTTGGGAATGAAAATATAACATCAGTGGCCTTGATAGCATCTCACATTGGAGTCTAGTGTTCAGTCTTTCAATACTAAAATGCTGGTGTAGCTCCACGTCCCTGAGAAAGATTGTTTCTATTACTTCCCCTGAAATAAAGATAGTGATTTATGTATTTATTTTAAAATGCATGTGAAGTGTCTAAGCCCAGATCCCTAAAACATTATTAAATACTAGTTAGCACCTTGCTGGTCTTTCCATAACTGGACTTTCCTGCTATGTTCTGCTTCTAAGCATGTTTCAGCATTCTTGCACATCAAGGTCGGGAAAAAAAGTGTGTCAGGCAGAAAAAAAAAAACCTTTCAAAAATCCTGCTGTGATAAATAAAATTTCAGTGAAGAACTTTTATTACCACTGAAAGTATGCTCTCAGATTTTTAAAAAATCCACCAGAATAGAGAGCACGTGAAGCAAGATGATCATTGGTCACCATGGCAGTCTCACAACTGTTCACAGTAACATGCTATTTCTGCATGTCACAGGGGTTTCACAGTCAGCATGGAGAAAACTACATGATGGTGGATAAAAGCATGGGCAGTTTTGAGACTGAACCTTCCACCTTCTGCCTAATACAAAGTGCCCTATTGTGACGGTGTCAATGTAGCACAATGCTCTGCCTAGAATGGAGTAAAACAACTCAAACAATGTCCTATTTTGCAAAGCTTTCACTGTGAACTGAGATGGGGTGGCATGCTACTTTTGGTGCTGAGTTATGCTAAAACCAGTCTGACTCATCAACCCCAATGTTAAACATCTTGATTGTGAGGTGAAGATGGAGCAGATATTGTAAAGTATCCTTATCTAAAAATGCTAACCTGGCACAGCTGGTGTGGAAACATACCATTGTCAGTCAACCACTTTATACTCCAAAAGTCCAGTTCCACTTTCAAATGGCTGGTTCTTAACATATCTCTTCTTGAAATATGTGTGGAAATTCCTCCTTTGGATGAGTAAGCCTCTCTAGGTTTCTCCTTGAGGCTGAAAGAAAGAGCTTTGCCCACAGTTGTTAGTATGGGAATAAATCTCTACTTAAAACCTGGGGGTTTGGGGTTTTTTTGCTAGCTTTAATATGATTACTTTAATATAATTGCTTTGACATAATACATTATACTATACTATACTATACTAGTATAGTAGTTTTAAATTCTATACTCTGCAGTAAACAATTCTGATTAAGATATTTTTGCCAAATCATTTATCACACTAAATCCTTCATTTTTGTAGAAATGTATCTGCAATCCTTAATCCTGAAGGACAAAGTTGTACAAATATTCCTCACACCTGTATAACTCCTTAGGCTTAAAAAATTGACAAAGTCTGGGGCTAAGATTGGATCCAGTGGCACCCAGGCTCCTCTCTGAGAAGGAGTTTAGAAAACAAAGGGGGCCCTTTCTGCACCTTGTGACTCAGTGGGAGGACTTCTCTAATAAACTTTCTCTGAAGCCCCCACTCTGCCTGTGACAGTCAAAGGGGACATAAGAATTGCAGTATCACATAAAGTAAATCAATGTCTCACCTGGTAATTGTTCATTAAAATGTGGTTTTGTTTTGAAGTTATTAAGGAGAATAAAACTAAACAAAACCTCTTTGATTTTGTGTTCAATTAACTGTATAATTACAGTCTACTATTTCTGTGTTTCTCATTGCAAAACCAGAGAAGCTATTGACTTATAATTGAATTCACTTAGAATCAATCAAGCAGACTCCTGGCAGCAAGAACTAGTAACTTTTACCCATTTGGAAGGTACAAGGTTCTAGCTGCTAAGGAGCAGGAATGCATTTTAAGCTGATATTCAACAAGTTTGTGACAGGGATTTTGTCACACAGGTTCCAATTTTGGTCAAAATTAGGAACAGTGATATTTCTGTGTTGTAAGGTCCTTTTTTTACTTTTTAAAAGCTCCATCAGAATTTCTGGTATTGCACAGAATAATGAAGTAGAAGCATAGATTCATGAGGAAAAATAGTAAAAGGGATTTCCAAAGGTCATCTGCACCACACATCTATCTTAAAAGGATCATGCTTCCTTTTTCCTGGCTGTTATTTACCTGACCTGGTCTTGGAGAGAGGAATAAAAATCCCAAGCACCTTGAGATGAAATTCCATAGACTTTCTCTACAAACTAGTCCAATGCTTCCCAGTAAACTAATATTAAATAAAACTTTACAAAGATCCTTTTTCCACAACCACAGTTTGACTTATTTGGCAAAGGTAGGGTGATGGAACTTCATTAATCTTTTAGGTCCATGAAAGCTGCTATAATTTTTTTCTTGCTGATATTTTCCTTTCTGTATGAAAACTCTAGTAGTTTAGTCTCTTCTTGTAAGTCAAGCTTTTCTTTTCACAAACTGCATCCATGATTCTTTCTGTATTTCCTTTCTAGACTACTCTGGCTATCTTCTTTCTTAATTATGGATGCGATACTCAGAGAAATGTCAGCAACTACTCAGTAGAATGGAAAGATTCATCAAATATGCATTCCATTTCTGATAGAAATGGCTAGTGAAAAGGTATGGTATTTTCTTATGTTGTATCAGGATGGCATTTTGAATTTTTGTAAAATCAGTGGCCTAGTATAATACTCTCAGGCAAAAGTGCAATCTATATTTTTCATTCATATTGTGGTTTAACCCCAGCCACTGTCTAAGTCCCGCACCACCACTTGGTCACTTCCCTCATGGTGGGATGGGGGAGAGAACTGGAAGAGTGAAAATGTAAAAAGTCATGGGTTGAGATAAAAAAGTTTTTAGAGAAAAAGCTGTGGATATTCTCAGTTCAGTCAGAGAGGAAAGGGAAAGTTTCTACCCAGGCAGGAACCTGGGAAACAGTTGGGAAAGAATGTAAATAATTCTCTATTTCTCTTGTTCACATTGTTTATAGATAAGTTCGGCCACTGAGTGTCATTCACTGCACACCAATGGAGTGAGGTGTTTTTACTCTGGGACCAATGGAATTGGTCTGGATGATGCTCTCTATAAAAGAGTGATGCATTTGAAATTAATCAGAGTTCTACTCTCAAGCCTTCTGAATTGGAGTTCTTTCATACCATCCTGCCTCAATGGTGTCAAAAAACTGCTCATAAAATCAAAGCAAAACAAGGAATTCATTCACCATTTCCTATGAGTAGGCATATGTACAGCAATCCCCATAAAAGCAGGGCTCCATCATGCTGAATGGTGACTTGGGAAGGCAAATGCTATCATTCTAAACATCCTGATTCCTTCGTCTTCCCCCAGTTTTACACAATGACCACAAGACCATAGGGTCCAGAATAACCCTTTGGTCAGTTGAGGTCAGCTGTCCTTGTTGTTTCCCATCCCCTCTCTTTGTGCAGCCCCAGCCTCCTACCTGGAGGAGTAGTACCAGAAGCAGGAAAGTCCTTGATGCTGTGAAAGTGCTGCTCAGCAATAAGAAAACCATCTCTATATTACCAACACTATTTTCAGAATAAAAACATAGCCCCATATTAACTACTGTGAAGAAATTTGCTAAAACCACTTAGAGCTGCATGATAATTTTGTGGCAAAAAATCAGACTGATTTCTAGACTTGTCCTCTAATGTTTCAACCTTTTTGACTACAATGTACTCTCATTGCTGTTGAAAAAAGAAAAATCCAGGAAATACTTCTATTTATGCAAAGTAAAATTTTCTGGATCTTCAAAATGACCCCCATAAAAGAAAAAATATTCATCATGTCAATTCATATGTCCTGTTCCATTCTGAATGATTAACTGTTCTCAAGTAATTGGACTTCTCAGTGACTTTACTTGAGTGGTTCTTTATTGATTTTGCTTACATTTGTGTTTATTCAAGAAGAAAATTTGAGAGCATTTTTTTTTTCTTTCTCATCATATCTGTAAGAGGAACTGTTTAACTGTCAATCTCCTGAAAATTGTATAAATAGAAAATAACATAGTTATACCACAACTTCTACTGATATTTGAGACACCCTACACTATTAATTATTTGCCATGATACAAAATTGCTTTTTCAAATGTATTATTGTGAAGCCTACCAAACACTTCACCAAGAAAATTTCACCCTATAAAGCCTTGAAAATTTTCTTAGAAAGGCCACAAAGAATGACTGTGTGGTTTTGAATGCAGGCTTAGATTTTTTAACTGTCTGTTTTTAATGCTGATATTTTGTGCAATCTAATTAAAAAAAAAATTAAGGACTAGAATAGCCAGCATCACAGTGAATATATTACAGCTGGTCCACGTGTTCAGTAATGTTTTTGATAAGGTGATAAAAACTGCAAAACCATATTGGGAGAAGATGCTATTTGAAATTTCCTGTGTAGTCCAGAATATTAATGAACTTATTAGAAAGAAGTGCAATAGTAGATATTTTAGTGTCTTCTGGTAGCTAGTTGTTGAAATAAAGAGAAATGAATTGTGTCCTTTTTAAAAGCCTCAGACACAATTAACTAGATCTCTGTCTTCAACTTCTAATAGATCTTATTTTCAAGAACATCTTGCAGAGTAACAAACATCCACTATCAAATCCCCACTATGTTAATTACCTAAAATTATTTCAGAGTAATAGAATTTATATATCCTAGAGCTAGAGAATCACAGAATTGCAGAACCACTGAATTGTTGAGGTTAGAAGGGATCTCTGCATGTCATCTAGTCAAATATCCCCAGCCAAGCAGGACTACAGGGAGTCAGTGTCCCAGAGAGCTTTTGAAGTTCTCCAAAGAGGGGCACTGCACAGTCTCCCTGGGCACCCTGGGGCACTATTCAGTCACACTCACAGACAAGAAGTGTTTTCTGATGTTCTTAGGGAACCTCCTGTGTTTCCAATTATGCTCATTGTCTCTAGTCTTGTCACCACTGAAAAGAATTTGTCTTCTTTACATTCTCTCTCTAGGTGTTTAGCAAAATTAGTAACCTTACAGCCAGGCCTTGTTTTCACTAGGCTGAAGGGTCCCAGATGTTTCAGCTTTTCCTCACCAGTGAGATGGTCTTTTCTGGAATTTACCTAATACATCCATGTCTCTCTTGCACTGCAAAGCCTAGAACTGAACATAGTACCCCAGGTGCATTCTCAGTAGTGCTAAGCAGAGGGACTGGATCACCTCTGTTGATCTGCTGATAATATTTTGTCTAATGCAGACCAGGATGCCAGTAACATTAGCTGCAACGGCACATCACTTACACAGGGCATTTTCAAGCCAGTTGCTTTCCTGGTGGGTGTCCCTCAGCATACACTGGTGTGTGGGTGGGGCTGTTCCTCCCCAGGTGCAGGACTTGGTACTTCTCTTCCCTGAGGTTCATAGGTCTTCTGTCATCCCATCTCTCCAGCTTGTCAGCCCCCCTGCATGGCAGCATAATTCTCTGAGCTATCACTAGCTCTTGCAGTCTTATGCCACCTGCAGACTAGTTGAGTGGACATGTTGTCCCATCATTCAGTCCATTGGTTAAGATACTAGGCAGGATGAACCCTAAGATGCCACTAAACACCAAGAATAGCTACTGCAGTCATTAGTATGCCACTGGTCCCCAGTGATGTAAGGACACATAGATTCACAAAATCTGTTGTGTCTATTTCTGAAAGTAAACATGCACTGAGATTTAGAAAAGTAACTGTAGAACAAAATATGTAGCCTTGTAGTAGTTTTGGGAAAAGGAGCAATAATCCAAAATACTTTCCGGTTTCTGAATACAAAGCACAATTTTCTCCCTATGGATACTTAATGTGATGAACAGTGCTGCATGCATCTAGAACTTGTTTCCAAACATTGCCAAGCTAAAAAAAGTAATTATTTTCACTTTTGCATACGAGGAAATGTATAATTCTTGCTACTCTTCCAGCAACATTTTCCAAATTGCCCTGGGTCTCTCTTGCCTACCCTAGTAAAAAAGGCTTATTGCTTTGATATGCATTGTTGAGGTGCTCAGTGTTTTCCTCAGCGCCATGCAGTAAGGTTATTCTGAAAATGATTCCACTGAGAACTGCAGCCAAAATATTACCATACTAATTGTCAACATGAATTATAATCTCTATTAAGTAAACAGAGAATTGCTAATGCTAAATTTTGGGAGTGTCTATGAGGGAAAGAGTATTTTTAAAACAATATATAATAGATAATACATTCTTCCATCATTTTAATTTGAGTACTTTCTGCAGTAGTTTTTTTACTTACTGTCATTTGATAATTTCACTTTCTGTGAACACTCCTGAAATTAATTATTATTCTGCCTAATATTTTTTTTTTCAGAAAAATGGCAGTTAATAACCCTGCTCTGCATTCTTCTTGAGACACAGAGTTGACCATGACATTGTTTGATCAAAACTAATCTTCCAGGTAATACATAGCACAACAAAACCATATTTTTGGTAAATTCTTACTCATCATTAGGGAATGCCTTCATAAGATGTAACAGTCAATGTGAGATTGCAAGTGTATTTCCTGTTAGCATTTTGTTTTATACTTAATACCACAAAGACAACAAAAAGATAAATGTATCATTTTGACGAATTGACAGTGAAGGCTTTGTTGAAATAAAAGAAATCTTGTATGTGTGATTCTTAGAAGCATAAAAGAAAAATTGAGTATTGCTAAAGTATTCAAAGAAAATACCTAGCAAAGCAAAACAAAACAAAACAATCAAACCCACAACAGCCTCCAAAAAAAAACCCACCATGGCATCCAAATTGTCTTCAGTGTGTGATTCTACATGCAAACAGAATTGAGAGCAGGGTATGGGGCTTTTTACATGTTCTTTATACTCTTAATATTATAAACTGAGAAGAATATTGTTAGTCTCCTTCTGAAAATTGCTTTTTTTCCTCACCATTAATTATTTTCTAATAAACTTATAAACTTTTCTGAATTGGGCTTTTTTGACGTGTGGTACTGAATAAATGGTTAACATATTCTGCTTTTTATAGCCTGGAAATAATAAACTTGTGGAAATAACCTGTGATGCCAAAGTCTTTACTTAGCCAGAAAATTTTCAAAATTTACTTTTCTAGGGAGGCTTATTCTGTATTTTTAAGAAATTAATATTATAAAACCATTATTGATTTTATCAAAAAGGGAAGCTCTTCCACAGATAAATTATTCTAAATTTTGTGTTGATTGTCACCAATAAATGAATATATGACATAACAATAATTTTGTTTACTCTTCTTACCTAACTACTACCTAGTTAATATTGCTTCATTACCATTGAATCTAATGTCTTTCAATATAGAAAATCCACTAACTTTAAAAGGAATGTGAATGTGTAATTTAATCTAACAGCTTCCAAGTATTACACTCTAATTACAGTCACCTTCTTGAAACTGGAAAACTTTGAATCTTAGTTTGTATAACTTATACCCTTTGTAATGTGATTTTGTAGTGATGATAGCACTAATGCCATGGGCTATGAATTCTAGTTGAAATCAACTCTGGATTCAATTAGAGGGAAAAACTCATCAGTTTCCATTGGTCTCATTGAATATCATTTGAGAGAATTCTTTCCTTGGAGTCAAGCCCACTTTGAAATGTTCTGTCTTTTCACTGTTTGCATGTTTCTTTACACCCTCTCAGTTGTGCTTGTTTAATTTTTATAGAACTGCATGGTGAAACAGATCAAGGAACTGATCCAGGATTTTTAATGTTTGTACCAGCATAATTGAAAACATTTGAAAACTATGTGTACTTTAAGCCAGTTTTGTCATTCAGCAAAATCATTGGATTACTGTCAGATTTATTTCCAGGGTAAGTTAGAGGCAGGTTTGCTGCTGGGGGAGTAGATGTTATGATTTGTCCCATGATAAAGTTCAGGTTATTTCTGAAATTTCATTCTTATATTTGGACATTCTGATATTAGTTTTACCTGCACAAACCTGTAACAGCTCCATCCAAGAAATGAAAAATTGCTTGACCTTCTTATCCATCTCTCATTGTGTTTCAGTCATGTCTAGACATAAGCAGAAGCTCTTACTAGATTTAGAAGCCTTCCTCCTCCATTTGTGCCAGTCTTTACCCAAGCAATAAATAAACATTTCTCGTAGGATTTTAGAAAATTATCTGACAACCCTGATTGTCTACAGGGTTGCTAGCAAAGTGAAACAACATACTAGCTGATATATTATTCATGTAAAAGAAAGAATAAAAGAATGTAACTGACAGTAGTCAAACATGTTTTATAAAATAAAAATAGTGTTCTAAATTCTTCATTCTTGCTTTGAAATTTGTAAGTTTTGTTTAGGATTGTTAACCAGGTTGACTTTTGAAGGTTTTTTGTTTTATTGCTTTATGATCAAAAAAATGAGAATGCTCATTATAGAATATTTGTATTCAAAGGCAGTAAAGTCTATGCTCAAATGTGATGTAGTAATATGCAAAGCAATATATTTATCTATTAAGCCTGTGAGATGTTATCCTGGAAAATTCTTTGTAAAGGGCACAGAGATTATCAACTTCTGCTAAACTGATGTAGCAAAAAATTTTTATATGATACTTTGGTGTATTAGGAGAGTGACTGGATTAGAGGAGGTTATGCTATCTTTCTTTCTCTGGACATATCTCCATTACATAGAAATAAAATTTTGAGGCCAGCTTTCTAAATTTTTTAGTCTGTAGTTAAATTCTGAAGGCATGTGGCAACACACAAGGTAGTAGAGGGTAGGAAAATTAGACATTTTTTGATAAATTCTTCAGGTTTTCGGGGTGATACATGTCTCATACATGTAAAACAATTATTATTTGTTGTGTTTCATCTTAATAGGCAGTTCAACTTGGTCACTCCAATGCAGCGGGACGACAGAGAGAATTAGAAGGGTAAAAGTGAGAAAACTAATGGGTAAAGAAAAATCTGAGTATGCAAGTAAAACCTGCACAGGAAAGCAGGGCTTCTGCTTTATTTCACCAAGAATGTTATTATTTCACCAAGAATAATGGTTACTTGGAAATAAAAGCACCTTCTCTCTACATGTCATGCCTTTGTCCCTCTTTCCACACTCCCCCCTATGCCCACCACCATTTTTTATCACTCAGTACAACACCTTATGACATGAAATGCCTCTTTCATTAATTTGAAAAAACTCACTTGGCTGTGTCCCCTACCAACTCCTTGCCCACCCGAGCCTAGACATTGGAACAGCAATGTAAGAAACAGAAAGGGCCTTGATGCTGCATTAGCAGTGCTCAACAGTGTGTTATCAGCATGGTTTTGATCACATACAGTACTGTGCAAACTACCATGAAGAAAGTTAACTCTATCCCAGTCAAAAGCAGTACACTATTTTAAAAAATATAAAATCTGGATCACTATTATTTTAGCAAATGGACAAATTTCTTACTACTTTTCACAAAGACTACATGTCCTAATAAAAATGATGAAGAAATTTGGTATCATATTTTCTTCTGCCAGTAGTTACTGTTGCTTCTGGTAAGAGCCCTCCCCATAAATTTCAGTCTTGTACCAGGACCCATACAGCAGTTAGTGTGAAGTGAAACCCTGTTTCAGGAGGCTTCCTGTTTAAGAACTATAATTCCATTTTAAGAATATTTAATAATGACTGCGTGAAATGAGTTTGTAGGAATCATATGCTTAAAGCTATATTAAGCTATAAAAATACACAACCACTTGAGTACATGACAGGTGATGGATGGTGATAGAATGGTTTAGACAGGCAGAACTGAAAGTTCTCTTATGATTTTTTTTTTTTTGGTTGTGTGAGAAATAAGCCACCAACCAAAGGTTTAATAAGTCTGCCACTCTGTTACTGCTTGTCTACCAGAAGTACACATTCATTTATTGTTACTAGAACTAAGCTGCTGTTTGAGTTGGTTCTTCAAGTGAAGAAAAGTTGGTTGCATGTATATTACATCAGAATGGGATGGAAAGCTTCCCTAACCTGAATTTCATGGGTAGATTTCTCCTGTTGCATTGTATCTATGTGTCCCACGAATAGAAAGGGCTATTTGGGGACCTGAACCTTAAGAAATGAGGCAGGCACAAGAGGCAGGATATGTGTATGGAAGTATATATTCATAACGTATTCTTTCAGGTTGTGGTGGGATGAATCCACCGAGCTGCTACATCTCTGAACAATAGCTCACTCATTCCCTGACAGTGAGATTGAAAAGACAATCAGAAAGATGGAAGTGAAAACATTTGTGGGCTTAGATAGACAGTTGAATAAGTGAAACAAATCTGCACATATAAAGAAATCAAAGTTAATCACACATAAAACAAATCAGTAGTTAATTCACTGTTCTTGTTGAAAGCTAGATGTCCAGCTGCTTCCTGAGAAGCCAGGCCTCAGCACACATAAAGGCTGCTTGGGAAGACTGACACCATAGCACTGAGGATCAGCTCTTCCTTCTCCTTTTGCTGAGTTTTCATTGCTCAGGAGACACTTTAAGGTATGGAATATCACTTTCAGGAGTTTGTGTCAGCTGTCCCATCTATGTCCTCTCTCAGACTCCTGTAAACCCCCAACCCACACCTATAGAATAGGAGGAAAAAGGGCCTTGATGTTGTGCAAACACGGCTTAACAACAGCTAAAAGATTGGTGTGTAACCGTCACTGTTCTAGTCACAAATCCAAACCATTGCACCATATGCGATTATGTGATGAGAGTTAACTTCATCCCAGCCAGACCCAGCACACAGCTGCAGAGATTTGTACCTTCCCTCCAGCTCTGGAAATGGGAGAGAGGTAGAGACAGAGTGCTATGCTACTGCACAGCAACTCAGAGCTTAGCAGTTCCCAGTACCACAGAATGCAAACACAAGGCAGAAGCTAATGACTGGAGTCAGGCTCTTCAGTAGTCAAGTAAATGTACACTTGCTTCAGACTAATAAAACTCAAGAGGAATATCTGTGTTTCTAGTTAGCAACTATCTTGAAATAGAGGACTTCAATGATCAAGTAGGCATTCTGTCACTAACCAAAAAAAAAAAAAAAAATTCAATATTCAAGGTTCCTAGTCTCTTCTGGGATGAATTAGGGCTGCAGGTGAGGCAAGGCAAACTCCTCATCCCTGACTATGATGGTTTTTGCAGACTCTGCTTTGTGAACCATCTGTGGGACCAGAGACTCTTACTCATCAAAGGACCAAGATTTGTCTGAGAGATGTCCTTGCTGCTGTCAGAATCTGCTACTCTAAAACCAGTGTGCTTCATGGTGTCTTGAAGACCTGAATACTTGGAACTACTGGGGTTAGCAGCCATATAAGGTGACAACAACAATAGCAGCAAAGTGCCTATTTTGTTGCCTGCTTTGAGCTGTCCCCATAATAAGTTATTTAACTCAGTTCTTCCATGGTAATTTTTGACAGCCAATATCATTACTTCTACTCATGAACTAGGAAATACCCCTCCACTGTGTCTACACCTCAGGCATTCAAAACATAAACCTGGATAGAATCTAATTCAACTTACTATCCCAGGTTCTGTCTTTTATCACCCCAGAAACCTGCTGGAAAAGGTTTTACAGAGATTGAATCGTGTATTTTGTGAAAATCTGATGGTCTTACATACTATTAAAAAAATCAATACTGTTAATTATTATGGTTAATTTGATATGTAGAACTATATGCCATTCCTTTTTCTTTCTTCTCAAATGGCTAGAGATTTCAGAATCATATCCATCAAGAAATTAATACATAGAAGTATGAGAGGAAGAGAGATGGGAGACACAGATTAGATGCTGGTTTCCAACAATTCCAAGATGCTCAGGGGAACACTTAATTCCCCTCTTTTTTATTTCCTCTTTCCAGTGATTTCCCTACTCCCACCCACTAGTAACTTGAAATTCTGGCCAAGGCAGCAATGTTGAAGTTCCACCAGTGAAGCTATATTTACAGTTTTTTTGTTCAGCATTGGAAATAAGGATGTACACACAACAGAAGTTTGGGACTTTTTATAATATGAGGGAAGCTGGACTGGACAAAACGTAGGTTGAGCTACTATGGTTAAAGTTATGTTCTCTGTTTATTGTTTATAAGATGGTAGTTTATATATACTTCAATATAGTTTACAAATTGTGAGTACACTATCATTGGTCAGCAAACATTGTTTGCTTTTGTCTTAAGATGGCTAGAGTTTTGCACAGTAGACGTATACTAATTCACACTCAGAAAACTTATTAACACTGTGGTTACCTTAAAATAATTTCTAACTGCGCCACAACTATTTTTTTACTGCGTCAGATGCTTCTAAGGCCTCACTGAGGCCTACATCTGAGGCATAGACTGGGGGGTGGTAGCTCAACCTCCACTCTAAACATAATTCGTGTCTTCACTCTTCTTAGAAATCTGGTAACAATTCTCTCTTTTTCTTTTTGAGCTACCTAGATTGACTTGAAGGCATGGTTAGTCATTTTCTGCATACAATAAAATAAACAAGGTATAAAGATTAGAATAATTATAATAATAAGAAAGAGTATAATACTAAAACAAACTAAATCTTTGACTTAAATATTAAAATTTTAAAAATTGAGCTAGTTAGCAAACTGAGGGTTTACAATGACAAGTTTCTTTATGTTGTTTTTTAGTTGTGTTAACTGTTTATAAATTGATTGAGAGTGGTCAGATAAATTCATGTTACACATGCCTTCAAATTCTTACACCCATGACTTTGTGCTAAAAAAAGGAAGTCAGTGGCAGCTCTGTTCTGAAGAACTGTATGTTGGATGTTCTTTACATCTGTGACAAGTTCACTTAACATTTTGGGTGTAATATTAATTTGTTTTCTTGTCCAGTAGGCTAGGGTTTTTAATTGTATGAGAGCTTGTGCTGAAGTAACTCCTGGAGAGAAAATTGAGGCTAGTATACAGATGTGCACTTTCATAATGATACTTGATCTTTACAATTGGGGTCTAATTGGAGAGCACTCTGTTCAGCTTGTCAGAAGCAAATAGTGAATTCTGTCTAGTTTGTTTGGCTTAAGTGATCTACATGTTTTATCTCTTGTCAATGTCAAGCATTCTAAATACCTTAGTTACTAAAACACTCCTTAATAGAAACACTGCCTCACTACATATTTCTCATGTTTTTGATTGTTCTGTTTAACATGAAAGGAACAAACTAAATACTAAATACAAACTATAACTTATGATAAACTTAATGTTATGCTTATGATTATCTAACTTATTTTCCCTCTTTTTCTTTTGCCATTAAAAAACAACAGCAAATTGAACAGAAGAATTACAAGCTTTACTTAAATAATCTAAAAACCCAGTAACTAAATTCTATAACATCACTATTCCTCACATCTATGAAAAAACCCAAAGTCTACAATCTTCTGTGTGCAAAACACAAATCTTTGCACAATCTACATCTGTGTATCTTCTGCTCCACTTGTGGAGAGATCAGTGTTTTCTTGCAGTTGAGAAAGTTGTACATTCTTTATTGAAATCTATCTAGACTCTGTACTTGTAAAAACACAAATAAACTTAACACCCCCACAAGGACTGGAGGGTTCTTTCTTAATTTTGTTCTCTAAAATTGCATGAAGAAATGGAGATAACATTTTTGTTATAAACATGAGAAAACAAGAATAGAACAATGTATGTAGTTGTTAGGGAGGATGAATACAATCCTCGCTACTGGTTAGACAATGCCCTTACCTACAGATAGGTGCAAAAGTCAAATGGACTGTCCAATCTCACCCCCAAAATGTATGGTTCATCCCACACCCGTAACCCTCCCCTGAAACATCAAGTGTCTGTGACCCCATTGGCCTAAGTCTTATTCCAGCCCACCTTAAAGCCCCCTGATAAGGGGTCTCTGAAGGGCCAGATGCCCTCTTGGAACTCCCCCTCTCTTGGAACTTCCACCCTCTCCTGGAGCATCCCCTTGTCTCTCCCCTCCCCCATCCCCTCAGGCCTTGCCACGTGCTGCGTCTGGCAGCTCCAAGCAAGACCTTTCACCCTCTATAATAAACCTTATATTCTAAGAGCAGCCTTCAGAGATCTCTTG